TCCACATGATTAACAGTTATTACATCCACATGGACGCAGTTAAATAAAGGACATGCAAAGTTGTGCCAAAAATACATTTAACAGGAACAGATTCAGCCTTACTGGAGGATATAATAAATAGTGTAACACATAGAGCTTTTATTCATAAACAGAAAGAATTTTCTGATGACGAGTGGCTCATCAGCCATTTTGAGGAAAAATCATTTTCAGTTTGGCACTGCTGAGCTCTGGGAGCACGACACAGCGAGCAGCCACGTGCGCCARGTGTGCACGTGCAGKAGCAGCGATTGAACTGGGGTTCCACYGGAGCTTTCCAGAGGGAGCTGGCAGACCCATCGGGACCGTGTCAGTCCACCCAAAGCWGAGTCATGACCAATGGAATCGTCTCATCCATATGATTCTAAAGGCTGAGTTATGGTCGTGCTCTGGAGCGTGCACCCTCACCGGCAGTGGAGGTGTTTCATACTTGGCGTTTAGTTGTTGTAGATTTCTCCAAAATGACACATGGAGGTACACTTTACWWCTTGTGAAAATGCTGTAAAACCAGCATCTCCYACATCATGTCACGTTATGAAAACTCTCCACTGAGACGCAGAGACTCGTTACTTAATATCAGCTATTAAATAAACAAATCTATGTTCAACCAAACATTTAAGTTCCTCTGTGTTTACAGTAATTATGGTAATAAACTCGTGCACAAAGTTAATATTTCCAGAATGGATGGATGCACCGTTTGTGCACCACAGTAGCTTCATGCGCACGCACACACACACACCGACACACAATCACTCATTCTTTGAGTGACAAATATATTTTACTCCTATTCTTATTTAGGATTTTTTTCCACACTCATATTTAATTCATTATTTTTATGACATTAGAAATAATTTCTGATCACGCAGGGATCACTCAAACGTGTCCTTCACACATGCAGGAAGTAATTTGCATCTGTTTAACATATGTTAATGAAGGCGTGTCAGGGGAGGTGTCTTATCTGCGCTCAGTTCCACATTAATTGCGACGTACAAAAGCAATGTGCGTGGATTCAGGCGTACGCATGGTTTGATGCATCTGGATTTATTTTGTGCGTACGCCGTTTTCTGGATGTGACCGTACGTCAGGTTTCAGTAAGAAATCCACGCAAGTCTTTGTTCATGAGGCCCCTGGAGTCTTAACACCAATGCGTTACTGTTCAGTTAAAATAAAATAATTTCCTTTCTGTGTTTGAAATGTTTACTTGCTTAAAATTTTAATGTAATCAGTAATGTTTTTCTTTTCTTTTGCTTTTTTATATAGGGCATATCGGGTCCTCCAGGAATTGATGGCATACCAGTAAGGCTTTAATTTATTTATGAAAACACAATTGCTTGAAATTCCTTTTTTTAAATACAGAAGAATACAGGTAAAATTTGTAGTGTTGTAAAAATGAAACGTTTGAAGTGTTGTTAAACTTGATGTATAATGACACCAAGTTTTATGTCTACAGGGTTTTATGGGTCCTGATGGTCCACCTGGTTTTCCTGGTCTAAGAGGACCTAATGGGTTCCCTGTACGTAAACAATGTTTATGTTTTTTCTCAGCTACTGTATCTCCATCTTAATGGCACATGTGATTATTTCTTTAGATTTGAATGCAGTTTGGGTTCAAACAGTAAAAGATTTATACAGATTTAGAACCCTAACAAAGACTCCGGTCATGTTTTGTAATAAGCTGGTTCAAACTAAACAAACATTTTTTTTATTACATACAGTACCACCAATAATATCAATTACTGTTTGTGTTTGATTGGTATGGAAATGTTGAGCTTCTAGAATACATTTTGTTGTTGAAATTGCAATAAATGTGTTAAAAAAACTGCAGACAAATGGATTTCCAATGTTTTGTTATATTTTAAGAGGCAGATTGAATTTAGTTTAGTTTTGGGTAATTTTTTTAATTTTTGTTCTTCATATTAACAAAAAAAAGTTTTTGTTTGTTTCAGGGGATCCCTGGTCTTCCTGGTCCCCCAGGGCCAATGGTAGGTTTAAGAATGATATTGAGTAATACATTAAATAATATGCATGCATATTTTATGAGTTGTTAAAATTTGTACAGATCTTTTCCTCATTTTTGTCCAAAATTGTAATGTTTTGTTTTAGGGGAAAAGTGGTGACATATCTCGAGGAGGGAAAGGAGACAAGGTACGATTTTGATTAAGGAAGAAGTGGAAAAAAAGAAAATGAAGGTTTTGTTCTGTAGAAAATTAGAATTTAGAAAAAGCTTTCCTGCTTATTGTTTAATGATGTGATACATCTATCTTGTTATACCTGGATGTATCAGATTCCTTAACTATAAATTAAAATCTAGTTTGACTCTAAGCTGCAATCTGAGCTGAATAAGTTATAACTGAAACAACAACAACAAAAAGCTGTTTTACCCAAATGGAGCAGTTGTCTTTATTTGTTCGAGCTCTGTCACCTGACAGTGTCTCCCAGTCTTCCTACTTTTTGCTTTATAGAGATTGAAGACTATAACTCTGTGGAATTATTTTAGTTAAGTTGTTTAGGCTTTTAACTTCTAACAAGAAATTTTTCATTCTTGCTCTTCAGGCCAGCAACACACTCCTAAAAAACTGAGGTGGATTTTTTTCTTTTGTATTTCCTCAAAATACTGTTATATTACTTCACGATACTATTGCATTATCTCAGAARACCTTTGCGTTATCTCGMAATACTTTTGCATTACCTCACAATACTTTTTGCATTATCTCGAAATAATTTTACGTTAACTCGCAATACTTTTGCCTTATCTCGTAATAATTTAGGATTATGTCACAATAACTTTGTTACCGCACAATATTTTTGCGTTACCTCGCAATATTTTTGCGTTATATCGCAATGTTATTTTTGTGTTCCCATGCAAAAGTTTGCATTTCCTCACAATATTGGGTCTCATGCAAGAACATGTTCGTATTCTTATCCTAAATTTCTCTTACTTTTGTTCGTACAAAGGGTTCGTACGAACATGTCACGTCAGATT